TCCCCAGCCTTCCCTTCAACCCACCTAACTGCCCCCCACAAGAAGGCAAGGCCTCCCATGGGGAGGCACATCCAGTAGAGGCAAGTCCAAATCCCTCCTCTGCCTCAAGGGTGCATAATGTGTCCCATGATAGGCAGTGGGCTCCAAAAAGCCCCCTCATGTACCAGGGATGGATTCTGATTCTACTGCCAGGGGGTGGGAGGTGGGGTGGTGGTGGGGGCAAGCAAAACAAGCTACACAACTGTCTCGTCATGCAGAGAACCTAGTCCAGTCCCATGCAGGCTCCACAGCCATTAATCCAACTTTCATGAGTTCCCACTCGTTTGGTTTGGTTGTCTCTGCAGGTTTCTCCATCATGATCATGACACACTTGTTCATAAAATCCCCCCTCTCTCTCTCTGACTGGACTCCTAAGTGTTTGGCTGTGAATCTCTGCATCTACCTCCATCTGTCATTGGAGAAAAGCTCTGTGATGACAGTTAGGATATTCACCAATCTGATGATCAGTTCAGTTCAGACACCCTCTCGACTATTTCTAGTAGTCTAAACTGGGGTTATCCTTGGGAATTCCTGGCAACTTCCCTAGCACTAGGTTTCTCTCTATCCCCATGATATCTCCCTCCATCATGGTATCTCTCTTATTGCTTTACCACTCCATCCCTGTTCCAGCTTGACCATCCTATTCCCTTATGTTCTCATCCCCCATCCCCTACCCTCCATTGCCCACCCCTCACCCACAGTTCACTCATGGAGATCTCATCTATTTCCTCTTCCCAGGGTGATCCATGTGTCTCTCTTTGGGTCTTTCTTATTAGATAGCTTCTCTGAAGTTGTGGGTTGTTGTCTGGTTATCCTGTGTTTTATATCTAGTATCCACTTATGAGTGAGTACATACCATGTTTGTCCTTCTGAGTCTGGGTTATCTCACTCAAGATGATTTTTTCTAGTTCCATACATTTGCCTGTAAATTTTATGATGTCATTGTTTTTCTCTGCTGAGTTGTACTCCATTGTGTATATGTACCACATTTTCTTAATCAATTCTTCAGTTGAAGGACATCTAGGTTGTTTCCAGGTTCTGGCTATTACGAATAATGCTGCTATGAACATAGTTGAGCATTTGTCCCTGTGGTATGATTGAGCATTCCTTGGGTATATGCCCAAGAGTGGTATAGCTAGGTTTTGAGGGAGATTGATACCCAATTTTCTGAGAAACCACCACACTGATTTCCAAAGTGACTGTACAAGTTTGCACTCCCACCAACAGTGTAGGAGTGTTCCCCTTGCTCTACATCCTCTCCAACATAAGCTGTCTTTAGTGTCTTTGATCTTAGCCATTCTGACAGGTGTAAGATGGTATCTCAGAGTCATTTTGATATGCATGGCTCTGATGACTAACAATGCTGAGCAATTCCTTAAATGACTTTTGGCCATTTGAAATTCTTCCTTTGAGAATTCTCTGTTCAGCTCTATAGCCCATTTTTTAATTGTATTGTTCATTATTCTGATGTCTAATTTCTTGAGTTCTTTATATATTTTGGGGATGAGCCCTCTGTCAGATGTGGGGTTGGTGAAAATCTTTTTCCATTCTGTAGACTCTCATTTTGTCTTATTTACTGTGTCCTTTGCCTTACAGAAGCTTCTCAGTTTCAGGAGGTCCCATTTATTAATTGTTGCTCTCAGTATCTGTGCTACTGGTGTGCTTCCTATATTTAGTAAGTGGTCTCCTGTGCCAATGTGTTCAAGACTACTTCCTACTTTCTCTTCATCAGATTAGTGTATCTGATTTTATATTGAAGTCTTTGATCCTCTTGGACTTGAGTGTTGTGCATGGCGATAGATATGGATCTATTTGTAATCTTCTACGTGTTGACATCCAGTTGTGCCGGGACCATTTGTTAAAGATGCTTTCTTTTTTCTGTTGTTCAATTTTGGCTTCTTTGTCAAAAAATCAGGTGTTTATAGATGTGTGGGTTAATGTCAGGGTCTTCAATTCAATTCCATTGGTCCACATGTCGGTTTTTATGCCAATACCAAGCTGTTTTATTACTATGACTCTATAGTAGAGCTTGATGTCAGGGATGGTGATGCCTCTAGAGCTGGCTTTGTTGTACAAGATTCTTTTAGCTATCCTGAGTTTTCTGTTTTTCCAAATGTAGTTGAGTATTGTTCTTTCCAGGTCTGTGAAGAATTGTGTTGGGATTTTGATGGGGATTGCATTGAATCTGTCGATTGCTTTTGGTAAGAAGTCTCTTAAAATCCACAATCACTGATTTCAAGGGAGGTTTTTCTATACTTGGTGTCACAAGTTTTGTCAGATATTCTATGGCATTTGTGGAGAGCATTATCATCTCACATGAAATAACTTCATTCCAACAATTTATGTATATATACACTTACGTCTACTATATATAGTTTTAAATAAACATAAAACAAAATGTTCTTCTATGGCTGTTTCAATAATACTTGTCATCATTTTCCCCTTTCCCTCCCTCTTTCTTAATGTTTCATGCTCTTCCTCTTCCAAAGATAAAGTCCCTTACTCCTAGTTTTTCCCATTTCTCACATAGTAGCTCCTATGCCCTATTATCTCTTTATCTATAGCTACTCCCTGCACCAACATCCCTGTTGACTTTTCTGGTTTCTGTGGTTACTTGAGGTTATATATTTACACCTAAAGACTTGGAGCTGGGATCCACAAATAAAAGCGAACATGTGGTATTTGTCTTCCTGGGTCTGGGTTACCTTACTCAGTATAATATATTCTAGTCTTATCCATTTATCCACATTTTCTTAATTTCATTTTTCTTTACAGTTGAATAGAATTCCATTGTTTATGTCAATCACATTTTCCTTACATGTTGGTTGAAGGATTTTTAGGTTGTTTCTATTTCCTTATATTGTGAATAGAAAGGCAATGAATATGGCTGGGCAAGTATCAGTGGAATCGGATGTTGAGTCCTTTCAGTTTATGACAAGGATTGCTATAGCCGGGCGGTGGTGGCACACGCCTTTAATCCCAGCACTTGGGAGGCAGAGGCAGGTGGATCTTTGTGAGTTCAAGGCCAGCCTGGTCTAGATGAGCGAGATCCAGGAAAGGCGCAAAGCTGCACAGAGAAACCCTGTCTCGAAAAACCTAAAAAAAAAAAAAAAAAAAAAAAAAAAAAAAAAAACAAGGATTGCTGTAGCTCTGTCATATGGTAGATTTATTTTTAGTCATTTGAGAATTCTCTATAGTGATGTGGAGTAGCTGTACCTGTAAGAGGTCAAAAGTGACAAGTAACTAGTAGTCTTAGAGAGCAGTACTCATGTGCCCACTGTGAGGTTGAACATATATAAGAACCTTATCTCCTTTCTGTTTTAGTAGGTGAAAATTTTAATGTCTTTCAGGCAGGTATTCATCCATTGCAGGCTGAACTTCTTGGTTTCCCCAGTGGCGTTAACTGAAGTTGCTCATAGTTGTGTGGCAGGAGGCTTCCTACAGTGGTGGATGCCTTCCCTTCCCTTCTTCTCTTCACCACCCCTGAATGGTTTTCATCTTTTACCTTCCACGTAAATAACTTGCTCTTAAATTGTACAATGTTTACATTAAGAGAAATCTCAAAAGCATCTGTCATTAGCAATACTGGGGTAGGTAGTAAGAAGAAATCAAGGTCACATGATTAGTTTTCCAAACCAGATCTGAGAAGACTTGTTCTCAGTTGCATTTCTACTTGATCAAGATTCTCAGATGTCGGTAGTGGCACATGTCTTTAATCCCAGCACTCGGGAGGCAGAGGCAGGCAGATCTCTGTGAGTTTGAAAAAAAAAAAAAAGATTCCCAGATGTATACAAGATTAGTGGCCATAATCCCTGGAATCTGGGTATAATTACATCTCTTACTTCTCACCTCAAAACCTTTACTATATGCATACACATCAGTGGACATATAGGAAGGGCTGGTTTAATGCACTAAGTACACAATACAAGTCTAACATTTTCTCTCTTGACACAATTATAGTTTGGAACACAGTATCTGATTAAGTGATGTATCCTTCAGAAACCAATTGTTGAGAGCCACTGTACAAAGGGACCCAGGCTTCCTTTCTCTGTCCCAGTAATAGCTAGAACAACCCAGCCAGGAGTAGCAAAATCAGAGTTGTTCACTTCCTTGTTAAAGTGGCAGACTCTAAGCTGCTCGGTTCTGCTACTTGGGACAAGTTGAGTTTCTGAGTTCCTTGGTAGAGGGTTGTCTGATTTTGTTTATTTATGTGGGTATCTAACCTATTGATCATTAACCAGGCATCTTAGTTTCACAGGGCCATTCAAAATAATACAAGGCTTTCAGATAATTACTTCTCCACAAGTACATGCTAGTTTAAGAAAGTTCAAGAAGACCAAATTGTGGTACTGTTTACAAGATTCTCAGAATGAAAAAAAATCTGTTTAATTAGCATTTCCATAAGTTTTGTGACACACAAACATATATGTATATAGGTATGTATGTATGTGTATATAATAGGGGACCTTTCTGACTTGTCTCTGACAACAAAAACATGCTTAAAAATGGACTTTGACAATATTTTGTATTTATTTGTGTGTCTGGTTATGGATTTAGAAGTTGAGACAATCCTTGCTTCAAGAGATCTGCTTCTCTGTCTCCTTTAGTCTTACTAAAATGTTACCATAGATAAAATGAAAGAAATTTGAATTCAGGTTAATATTTTATTTGTTGCAATTATCTAGCAAAAGTTTTAAAATTTAATGTGTTAATAGTTAATATTTTATTGCTGGTGAGTTTTTAAATTATATAAACTGCTTGCATTTTCCTGTCAGTTGCATAAAGTGTTTAAGTGTCTGCCTTTAAAGCTTTCTCCGTTTTGAATAACAGCAAAATATTTGTTTCATCTGAGGATGTGATTTTTCTGTGAATGATACAAAGTTTAAAGGAAATAAAATCTCTTTTTAAAAGGAACTGGTTTTTAAAAGTCTGAATTCTTTTACATTTTTTTTTTTTTTCAGATTAAAGGATTTACCTGAAGACAAAGAATTCTATTCATCAGAGACTAGACAAGAGTTACTCTTGCTTTTGGCAATTAAAGATGATGTTGTCATGGAAACAGTTGATCCTGCTTTTGTTCATTGGCTGCCTGGCAGGTAACAATAAGCTATATTTCGTATGAATTATTCTTGAAGTCATGTGCTTAAATACTTTGCTTTTGTTTTTGAGACAGGGTCTCATGTAGCCTAGATTGTCTACAGACTTACTATTTTGATCCTGATCATCCTGCCTTCACCTCCCAAGTACTGGGATTAGAGGCATGCATGTCTATGTCTGCTTATTCTCAAGTTCTTTTTAAATGTTGATGTGAAATTATACCAGTGTTAAAGACAAACAGATCTTTTTTCTCAGAAAGAAGATTCATATTCCTTATTCTGATACTTGGATTCTCATGGTTCTTCTCCCTAATTTTTATGAGTCAATATATTCCCATAGAAACTATAAGAACACTTGATATTAATACTATATTGCTGAATTTAGGGAGAGTTCCCAGTATCACAACCTAAATTTGAGAACATTCATTCATGTCCATTCATTTTTCTAGAGAATCTGAAAATGAGGAGCTCCCTTGTATGAGGGAAATTCACTTATTTTTATTTTATTTTATATTTACATATATATTAGCATATATATTGATAAATTTATTAGTATGTATGTATATGTGAAAACAAATAATAAAAAAGAAGGAGTTGGGGTGGGCAGAAGAAGTTTAGAAGGGGGGGAGGAAAGGGAAGAGATTATGTAATTGTTTATATATTTTTCAATACATTTTATTTTTATAATTAAAATATAATTGTGTCATTCCTCCCCTTCTCATTCCTCATTCCAAGTTCTCCAGCTGACTTCCCACATCCCCGTCAAATCTATGACCTTCCTTTTCTTCAAATATATTATATATATATATATATATATATATAGTATAATGTGCATTTATATGTGAATATATATATATTCACACACACACACACACACACACACACACACACACACACACACATATATATATATATATATATATATATATATATATATATATATATATGCCCAAACACAAATACTACCAAGTCATTTTGGTGTTTTGTTTTTTTATAATGTATCTGATTTGAGGGCTGACAACTTGGTATTGGATAACTAATTAGGTGGTTTATTTTGGGGGAGAACTAACTCTCCTCTCTCAGCATTCTAGAGTTGGCTGTAGTTCTGTGTCTAGAGGTAGAGTCAATGTGAGAGGAAATATACTTTTTTAAAAATTATGACATTTTCCTATCAAGTCTTAGAATTTTTCTTGAGACATTTTGTTACAGTTTCGGCATTTTTTTTTACAAAGGTAGACAAAAGAAAAATGTTTCCTATTTATAGTAATGAAAATATTTTATGAAAATATTTTAATTCATTTGATACTCTTCCATTTTGTTCACTTTGATGCCATTTTTGGGGGAGTTGGCAAGAAAATAAATTTTTAAATGAAGTATAATATAGAATATGAAATATGGAACTATGTTTTTGTTTTTTTCTTTCTTTTATGTTATAAAACATCTAAGGGATGCTACATATATTAATATGGTGAATAGGAGCATGTCATACATTTGATTTGGTTGTTGTACCCTTTGGCTATGTGTGTTTTGTCTGTTTGCGTATGTGTAGGCATTGTTTCCTGTACTCATTGTTCATTTACTTTCTCTGACCCATTTGAAATTATATTATCATAAAAGAAAATCACTTCTTCCATGAAAACAAATCAGCACCCGTCTTCTGGAACCTAGGAGTTGCTTTTCTTTATGAAACCTAAAGCTTAACAAAGTGTAGCATGTTTTCTTTTCTAATGAATGAGGCAGATTTGAATGGTCAGTAAAACACATAGAATTTACATGCATAAATATATTACAGTAGATGTCTGGGCTCTTGTATCAAAAGTCAGATGTTTTTCATATATTTAAATGATAAAGTGTAAAAATTCACAAGCAGCCTTGGAATAGAGGTTTAAACTTTGTGAATGAATGCCCCCCCCCCCCAATTTTTGTTTTCCTAAAATACTTAGCTACATTTCTAAAACAGTTTCTAGAACTGAAGAAAAAGGTGGTAATTATTTTCAAATTTCAGATTCGTGAAATGGAGTTTGGAGAAAGATCAATACGGACATCCAAACTAAAAAGATTATTTTCTGTCTAGTTATTTCACGAAGTTTTGGATTTTCTTGTTTTTGTAGACAGAGCAAAATGACAGCTATCCCATATTAACAGGTTATCCCTCAGGATGGTAACTGTTGTAGAAGTCACCTTGAAATTTCACAAGTGGCAAAAAAAAAAAAAAAAAGACATACTGAGAAAATGAAAGTGTTGTATGGTTAAGGAAAATGGGACCATTTTTCAAAAGTTTAAAATCTTATTCTGTTCCATACAAAAGTGTTATTCTATTCCACATAAAAAATTGCAATACACATGTGTCCAGGTTTTGACGTCTTCATGTTTTACACATGATAGTTCACAGAAAAAAGAAGTGTACATTATACTAAAATGTGAAAATACCTTTAAGAAAATTAAACATCAATTTGAATTTATAGAAATGGTATTTAAAAGCTGTAGAATATTCAAAGGAGAACTGAATTATTTTTTTTGTCCAACATATTCTGTGTAACATACTGCTTTAGAGAATTGATAATCTTCATAATTACACTATTGGGAATGATTTGGCTGTTTTTTGTGTTCTAAAAAATATTAAGTGCAGGATATTTATTTATATATTTAATATCAGCATTCTTTTTGTATTAGTAAAATTGATAAGGTTCGTTTCTGATTATGATAATCTACTAATAAATATTTTGGTGTTTTGCATATTTTGAAATAAGTTTATGATTGAGGATGATACCAGCCATTTTTTATATGAATGAAAGCAGCTGAATGCCTTCAACCATGTTTAGCACAAGATACCCAGTATGTGCAACTGGTGCTGTGTAGATTTCTATCTTTTCCCAGTAAGGTGTTGGCTCTCCATTATTGTTTTGTTCTTTTCTTTCCCCCCTTTCTCTTTCTTTTTGACCAGTTGACACTCAACACTAACCATCACAAAAGCTGAGACAGGTTTAGGTAGAACAGAGTAAGAAAACAGAACATTTGTATTCTTAGAATTCTGACAGGAATCCAGAAACGGAAGGAACATCATTTGGGGTAGAACAAGAGCAATGTCACAAAAATTAATATGATTGATAATAAGGAGTAGAAGCATGTTAACTGAGTCCAGATGGTGGGATGGCACTACTTATTTACTAGTTGAGGGAACTGAAATAGTCTGTAGGCTTGAGTCTAAATGACTTTTCCAGTCAGTGTGGTTACTACAAGACTTCTATTTATTTCTGATGTCAAAGGATGAGTTCACTTCCTGAATCATTTCTTTGTGGAATAAAAGCCATTGGCTAAGAATCAATAAGAACTCAAGGAAAACGTTTTTCTACTTCTTCAATACCTAAACATTAATCGTTTAGCTGTAATGGCTGGAAAGGTGGACCAGTTGTTAAGAGTACTTGCTACTCTTCCAGAGGACCTGTGTTCATGTCCTATCACCAACTGGTGGCTCATAATCATCTGTAACTCCAGTTTCAGGGTATCTGATGACCAGTTCTGGCCCCTGCAGGCACTAGACACATACATACATGCAGGAAAACACTCATGTACATAAAATAAAACAAATTATTTGTTCGAGACTCAGATATTTTCTGTCTGCTATGGGAACTATTAGTCACTGGTGAATAAGAACACATGGAATGTAAGTAATGTGAGCTCTTCTGTCCCAGTAAATAAAATTCACCAATTATTTCAGATATAGTTGATCATTTTTTAGCTCAGTTTTCTTACTGATGATAGGAGAGAATAGGATTATTTATCTATATCAAAGTTAAAATATTGTTAATGTTAAATAGACCTTTATATTGTAATGATCAAGTGTTTATTAGAAAATTGGAAACATATGTGCCTCTTGCATTATATTGTAGTAGTATGGCACAGCTCCATACCTGTATGGCATAGGAGCCTGACCAGTATGCCAGGTTATGTATATGACCAGAGAGAAACAAGATGAACTAAGATAATGGAGACTTTTAATTTTCCCTTTGTTTATTATATGTCTGTATATATTTTGTGGGTGCTGTGCAGCTGTGTGAGGGTGCCTCAGGAGGTCAGAAAAACGGGTGTCAGATCCTCTGCAGCTGGAGTTATTGGCATTTATCAGTCACCTGACATGAGTGCCAGGAACCGAACTCAGGTCTTCTGAAACTGCAGCAGCAAGCACTGATTAGCTCCTAGGCCATCTTCTCAATGCCAGATACTAGAGACGTTGTGATGTCACGTTAAAAGTAGTAAATGTCCACTGGGTTTGTTTTATCAACAGGCACTGTGTATTTTATTAAGTAAGTCCAGGTTTTCATGTCCTTGTGGGGTAAACATGGTTAAGTCTTTAATCACTCTATGTGGGAAGTCTAAACTTGTGAGATAGCATTCTATATGTGTCAGTTTTCTAGAGGGGAATACTTTCTAGAGGGAAATACCCATTGCTAGTGAAAAATATTTGTGAGATCTATTTAAAAACATCATTTAGAAAGTTGCAATTTCCTATAAAGGTTATGAAACTTTTTTATTTTACCAACTTCTCATAGAATGATAGTGAATAACTGATTTATCATCATTTACTACAGCTTTGGTAATATCTGGGAATTACATGTCAAAAGGAGTAACCACTCAGCCTGAAATGGATTGGTTTTACAAGAGTAGACTGTTGGATTTCTTTTAGTATATTTTATAGTAGGATTTCCAATGCATACTCTAGTTGGCAATTATGGTGAAACCAGGCAGATTCTAAGACTGACTCCAGAAAAAGCCCTTGAGATGGAACTGCTCCATTTCTCCCAATGACTGGCCTAGTCTAGTTAACTAATCACATTTTCCCAACAAGATTTTCTTGGCTCAGGGACCACTCTTTGCTTAAACTATGTGGAACACGTCATATTTCACAATGGATCTTAGTGAATAATTATCAAATCTAAGTTGCTCTGGTGGCTGTTCTACAGTTATTTAGCAAGTTAAGTTCAAGAAAATCTTAATTTTGG